CCATGCATTGAAGGGTTTGCATATTGCAAACCAATTCTACAAGTTGATGAGACTTTTTTGACTGGCAAATTCAGTGGAACATTGTTAATTGCAAGTTCGCAATATGGTAATAGACGTATATTTCCAGTTGCCTTTACTATTGTTGAAGGGGAAACGAAGGAAGCCTGAGAGTGGTTTTTTTATAACCTTCGAACTTTTGTTACCCCACAACCAAATATATGTGTAATATCAGATAGGGGTACAAGGTTGTTGGCTGCACTTCGTACTCAACTACAAGAATGGTATAATGCTGAATCAGTGTATTGTATTTGTCATCTTGCGAGTAATTTGAACAAGGAGTTCCAGGATTCTGATCTAAAGGATAAAGTCATTCAAATGGGTATGTATATTTCTTAAAATTTTAATGTTTTATATATATTTATTGAGTAATTATATTAATTAATTAAACTTTATTCGTAGGTTATGAGTTGATGTGACCACGTTTTGAGCGGATGCTAAGTGCTCTGCGTGAAACAAATCTGAGTGCGGGAGCATGGTTGGACCAAATCCCTAAAGCAAAATGAACACAATGTTACGATGAAGGGAGATGGTATGGCCATATGACTACCAACCTTGCAGAGTGCATTAATGGTGTTTTGAAAGGATCTAGAGCTCTTCCTATCAATGCCCTTGTTCAAACAACATATTATAGGCTAAATTCATGGTTTGTTGATCATAGAGATAAAGCCGTTAATATGATTAAGGCAGGACATATTTACTGTGAAGAGTTGACAAATGTGATGAAAGAAAATCAACGTCAATCTACATGTAAACTTGTTCGTAGTTTTTCAAGGGAGACAGGGATAGCCGAGGTTGAAGCTCCTTCTAGGTCTAGTGGTCGACATTAAAAGGTGTATACAGTTAAACTAACCGAAAATTGGTGTGATTGCGGAGAGTTTCAGTCATTGAGATTGCTATGCTCTCATGCAATTGTTACATGTTCAACGTTAAATTTAGATTGTGGCCAATTTATTTCACCAATTTATCATTTAGACAATATTTTGAAGGTGTATGGACTTGAGTTTCAACCAATTGGTAATGAAGAATATTGACCTCCTTATTCTGGACCGTCATTCATTCCTAATCCTATTATGCGTAGGAAACGAACTGGCAGACCAAAAACTAAACGAATACATAATGAAATGGATGAAGTTCAATCACAACAGATTAAGAAACGTGGATGGTGTAGAATAGAAGGCCATAAGAGGAAGAAGTGTCCATACCGATTGAGAGAAGTGGGTGAGAGTTCTACACAACCCAATGTGGATGGTGCAGTCAACATCATTCGTGGAATGTTAGATCGTTTGCGTGTTGATCAAGTAAGTTTAAGTAGTAACTCGTTACCTAATAATTTATTTATTAACTTTTAAATATTAATTAATTAATATATATTTATTTTTCTCTATCTCTTTTTTAGTTTGTATGGACCCCATATACAAGTATGAATATTATGGGACAAATCCCTAATATTTGTCGACCACGTGTGCCATTAATTTGTTTCGCAACTGTTGAATGACATGATGCTGACCGAGTTGTGAGACAATTTGGTTTGCAACAAACAATCCCACAAGATCCACCAAACTTTGACAAACTTCATAAGATGGACTTACGTGGCAAACATGAATACAATTGGCCACAAAAGCATGAAGTATGGATTCGAATGTGGGAGAGTCGGGAAGATTATCTGGTCAACGGTGTTCCTGACAATGAAGCTTTGTATCACCACTCGCAATATATGCAATGATATTTACAAATGACAAGGAGATATATCTCCCCAGACGGGGCATATTCTGTTGGAGCAGTAAACTTTAATTTATTTCATTTATTTAACTATTTCTTAAATATTTTCTAACTATTTCTTATATATATTTCTTCAGTTCAACTTTGCAGCTGAGCTAATGGAAAGAACAACTCCTCCTCAAACTTACAACAATCTCATCCAAACTATCAACTACGTCCATTTTGCGTGTAAGGAATTGGTGAGGGTATTGGCAGAGTTAAATACAATGGTCTTCAACATTTCCCAACCTCGAGCTCCTCCTGCTCAACATTTTGACATGCCTGCGTATGACTCTGAACATCAACATCAAAGTTCAAGTCAAACACAGTTTCAACCACAACCACAAATGTCATCACCTCATTTATATGGAGAAAACCCTATGGATCATTCACGACATATCCAACAAACTACAATATGGGTCAAAGTTCTCAGTTTCAAAGCTCATTACCATCAATGTTTGCTACAACTTCAAACAAACCAATGTTGGCATATGGGACACAAGAGTTTTACCGTCCTACTATGCCTTCACAAGGCATTATTTTTGGTAATGAGGACAATGAGAGTGGTGATGATGGTGATGGTGATAAGGAGGAAGAAGAGCAACAAATACAAACACGATGCAGTGGAAGAGATATAGAAATCCCTCAATAACAATTGAGAGTTCTTCCACCACGTAGGAGAAGGTTACCTCGTGTGGTACTTCATCACATCATAGACGTCACTAATAGTTTAGGGATTGTTTGTATTTTTTTTTTAAATCTAAATGATTTTTTCATTTCCTTATTATTATTCTATTTTCAATTTTTTTATATATTACTAAATAATCAATTAATTTTACATAATAAAAAAAATCTTAACTTAACCTTAATCAACAAAAACCTGTAGAACTTAAATATATATAAAAAAAACTTAGGCAAGAAGCGTGGATTTTATCCACGAAACAGAGGAAAAGTGGATATGATACACGAATAGTGAGGAAAACAGGGACCTGAAAAACGAATAACCATATTCGTTTTCTATGTGCCCGAATACGTGCCCGAATACAGTGAAGAGAAAAAAGGAAAACATGTTTTGAAGCAACGAATACTGTAAAGTTTGCACCAACACAGTAAATATTTCAAAACTTACACCAAAATGGTAAATAAAAACTTTGACTACACCATGTAAGTAAATTTTCCCATCTTTCTTTCCTTGGGTTTCAATTAGTGATGTGGCGACTTATGGAAATGTTTCCTTGGCCATTTTAGTCCTTGCTTTTACCATAGGTCCTCCTAAACCTTGGAGTTAATGGTGTTGCATGTCTTTAATCATGTCCACATTAGCCGCCATTATTCTCCATTAAACCTTCACCTTCTCTTTCTCAAACCCTTATCTCACAATCACTAAAACCTCACAATAGAGGTTCACATTAGTTATCACCATGAGTATGGCTTGATGATGGTGCCATATACATATTGTGCAATTCGTCCTCTTGGTCTCATACCTTGCCAAAATATAGGTGGGTTAACTTTTATTTTCATTGTTTGCATTCAACTTTTAATCATTAATAAGATTTTTCCTTATATGCAAGAAGTATTTCATAAAAATATAAAATATTGATATTTAAATAAAAATATTGTTTAAATAAGTTTTTATAAAAAAGATATATAACTTTAAATGTATAATGTATGATTAAAAACTTATAAGCTAAGGCAACTTATATTATCCCGTTCCTATAAGCACTTAAGTTCCTCTATCTCTTGCGAAAATAGTAGAATTGTATGCTTAGCTATAATAAGAACTATGAATAATAAATACCATGTATCTCAATTATAAGTTATTTTATAAATTTCATTTGTTGCTATATAAGTTACTATAATATTTAGGTAGCATTTTATATTATATACCGAATATATTCATTTATAATTACACTGTATAATTCCACACACCAAGAGTTATGTTAATATGATAATTGATTTTTTATAAAGTCTCCCTTGATGTTATCAAATGCTACAGGTAGAGATACGACCGGGCCGAGCGAATATGAGTAGTGCATATTTATACTCATACTCGTACTATTTGCGGGTACCCACGAATTTTCGATTTTAATTATATTTTTTATATTTTACAATAATTAATATATAAAATAATTATTACTTGAATAATATGATATGTATATGATAATTTTATGATAATAGTTTTATCACTAAATTTTATTATAAAATAATAATAAAAAGATAAATATAATATTAAAATAATAATAATTAGGTATAAAATATATGAAATATTTAATTAAAAATACATGTGGATACCCTCAAAGCGGGATCATGATACCCATTCTCATTTATGAGCTATTTTTACAGGTAATTATTTTAATGGATACCCACCAGTCAAGTATTTTTGCCATCCCTATTTACAAGCTTCTTTATCATGGGAGTGCTTGGGTTTAGTGGCATAAGAAAACTGTGAGAAAGTGAAGGAGGAGTGGAAAAGTTAGGAACTACCACACAAGAAGAGGATATAAGCAGCCAATATTTTTTTGTATTAACATGAATATATTTATATACAAATAATATATTTTATATCATTCATTTATTTATATATATATAATTTATCTATATATCTATCACTCATTTGTATCAATTATGTTTGAATATGAATAATGTGTAATAAGGTAATAATGAAAAATAATATAGTATCATTGCATAGATCTTTTTGTGATGTTAAAATATATTCTCAAAAATATATATTGAAATATGAAATAAATTAATAACAGTTGTGGGGGCAAAATAAAATTAAATAAACCTCACTGAAACCCTAAAAAACTTCTACTATATATATGCGGCATAGATGCAACTAGAGACACAAACATGGCCGTGATTACATATGGAGACGGCTCCAATGGAATCATTCCCAATTCGGCTTTGGCATCTTTGATTCATAGGATAAGCTCTTTCATTTTCAATTTCTTTTTATTTTCACTAAATCTGTGTCTTTCTCTCCCACAATGACAAATCCATCAGAATTTACACTTAATGAGTCCTATTTGTTTCTCATTCTTTATATTTTTGTTAGTCTTTATTTATCGTATACTTTTTTTATTTTACTGCACTGATTTTAACTTTTATGAGGAAACTTTATTGTTTTTTCTCATTGAAACCTCAGTGCATACAGAGAAAGTCTAATTATAACTGCTTCTTATTTCTAATGAACATGTTCTCCTTTTTTGTTTTTGTTAACAGAAAAGGAACAGTTTTAGTAATTGGAAATATTGTTTGTGTGTTGTAATTGGACAGCGGCCAGACAACCGTAGAGATGGTATCCACAGGTGGTGGGGTTTTTCACTCACTCGTCTACTGATTCCATCCCACATTTTTTACTTAAACAATGAATATTTTTTCTTTAATTACTGTAAGTATTGTCATGTTTTTTGATATGGAATTTGGGGGTGAATATTAGAAAAAACCATATAAATTTGAAAATCGATACTGTGTTTGATGTCATTCTAATTGAAGCATTTTTTGTTTTACCTTTTTTTTCACTTGTCTTCTTTTTATTTATATATAAAGAAATAAGGATTTCAGCAATCAATGTTTTTGTTAATATCCAACTACAAGATGCTACCAACACAGTTTCTGGTCCTTTGTGGATGGTACAGCAAATGTTATTGGATTTTTAAATGAAAAATATAAACCTTCTCTATTGATTCTTTCATGTATGCGTCAGTTAGATTATCACTAATATTGGCATGTTATTCACGTATTCTGCCTTATCGGTCTTATTAAAAGATGAGAAAAAATATATACACATAAATAATATAGTCATATATTTTACTATACGATTTTACCAATATAGATCACAAAATGGGTCTTCTTTGCGAGTGTTTAAAAAACCGTGCCGTACCGGCCGGTTCAACTGGAAAACCGGTGAACCGGATCCCTAACTGGTACGGTAGGTATGTTATACCGTATATGCAATAGAACCGGTCAAAACTGGTTGAAAACAGGTTGAAACCCGGTCAAAACAGGTTGAAACCCGGTCAAAACTGGTTGAAACCAGGTGGAAACTGGTTGAAACCAGGTGGAAACCGGTTGAAACCAGGTGGAAACCGGTTGAAACCAGGTGGAAACCGGTTGAAACCAGGTGGAAACCGGTTGAAACCAGGTGGAAACCGGTTGAAACCAGGTGGAAACCGGTTGAAACCAGGTGGAAACCGGTTGAAACCAGGTGGAAACCGGTTGAAACCAGGTGGAAACCGGTTGAAACCAGGTGGAAACCGGTTGAAACCAGGTGGAAACCGGTTGAAACCAGGTGGAAACCGGTTGAAACCAGGTGGAAACCGGTTGAAACCAGGTGGAAACCGGTTGAAACCAGGTGGAAACCGGTTGAAACCAGGTGGGAAACCGGTTGAAACCAGGTGGAAAACCGGTTGAAACCAGGTGGAAACCGGTTGAAAACCAGGTGGAAACCGGTTGAAACCAGGTGGAAACCGGTTGAAACCAGGTGGAAACCGGTTGAAACCAGGTGGAAACCGGTTGAAACCAGGTGGAAACCGGTTGAAACCAGGTGGAAACCGGTTGAAAACCAGGTGGAAACCGGTTGAAACCAGGTGGAAACCGGTTGAAACAGGTGGAAACCGGTTGAAAACAGGTGGAAACCGGTTGAAAACAGGTGGAAAACCGGTTGAAAACAGGTTGGAAACCGGTTGAAAACAGGTGGAAACCGGTTGAAAACAGGTGGAAACCCGGTTGAAAACAGGTGGGAAACCCGGTTGAAAACAGGTGAAACCCGGTTGAAAACAGGTGGAAACCCGGTTGAAAACAGGTGGAAACCCGGTTGAAAACAGGTGGAAACCCGGTTGAAAACAGGGGGAACACCCGGTTGAAAACAGGTGGAAACCCGGTTGAAAACAGGTGGAAACCCGGTTGAAAACAGGTGGAAACCCGGTTGAAAACAGGTGGAAACCCGGTTGAAAACAGGTGGAAACCCGGTGGAAAACAGGTGGAAACCCGGTGGAAAACAGGTGGAAACCCGGTGGAAAACAGGTGGAAACCCGGTCAAACCCGGTCGAAACCCGGTCAAAACCGGTCGAAACCCGGTCAAAACCGGTCGAAACCCGGTCAAAACCGGTTTTCAACCGGTTGAAAATCGGTCAAAACCGGTAAACTGGTCGGTTTGTACATTAATTTTTTTTTTAAATTTCAAATTTTCAATTCTTCACCAATTCTTGAACTTCAATGATTGATACTTGAGTCATTTATTTGTATTTTGCGTTTGTTAAGTGATAATTTTGGATTAATATATGTTTTGCACTTTAGACTTTGATTTTATTAAAAACTTAATGTTGTTTGTTTGTGTGAATTTGAAGTAAATTATGAATATGAATTATAAATATGAATATCTACTTATTTGAAATTTTTTGTTATAGGTTTACATATATATATATATATATATAAGCAAGTATGTACAGTTTAACCGGCATGTGGTTTAATTATTGAACCACTGGTTGAACCACTGTACCAGTATCCTGACCGGTTTGATAACCGGTACGGTTTTAATAACATTGTTCTTTGCTCACACCTCCAAAAATTCAAGCGGACAAAAATTTATCTAATATTATAATTTTTTTGGAGGTATTAAAAGTTATATTACATTATTATTTATTTTTAATTTTCTTCCTTTTTCTTTAATCATAGGCTGGGAGAAATGGCAAATAAATGAAATTTGTATGTGATACCCTGACATTTCTTTAATTATTATTGATTTTTCAAAAAAGAAAAATACAAATCTATATTAAACTTGGGAAAAAATGCTCTTAGCAAAAGAGAAATAACCGGAATGTTTTTGTCTTGTCATCAGGTATAGAGGCTTTCCTTTATCGACCAATGTTAACTTAACATGTTGAGAGGACTAGAGCACACAGTTTCACATTTGATCGAATTTAAAAATGATTTTGGTCTTCCATCTTAACCAAAAATGGGTTAGATTGATTTGAAATTGAATGATTCACTTAAACATAATTATTAATTATTTAAATATAATTATATATAATGGATATATATTTCTTCAATACAATTACGCATAATTATTAGAGTAAATTACACTCACACCCCTGAGTTTTAATGAAATTACACAAACCACCTCTTCCTTTTTTGTCCTTACACTAACCACCTCTCCCTCATACACAAACTACCCCTAAATTTATACATACATTACACTGACCATTTTTGCATGTTATAAAAGTGTAGTATTTTAAAGAAAAAACGTGTGATGAATGTAATTAAGTTAAACAAAATATTGTATATTATGTAGACAAAAAACGTATGACGTGTGTAATTAATTGAACAAAATATTGTATATTATGTAGACAAAAAACGTATGATGTGTGTAATTAAACAAAAAACGTATGATGTGTGTAATTAATGAAGACGCATTGACTCTTATATTATTTGAATTTGTCTACATAATATACAATATTTTGTTTAATTAATTACACACATCATACGTTTTTTGTTTAAAATATTACACTTTTATATCATGCAAGGGTAGTCAGTGTAACATATTTACAAAATTAGGGGTGGTTCGTGTAATGACAAAAAAGTGAAGAGTAGTTTATGTAATTTCACTAAAACTCAGGGGTGTAAGTGTAATTTACTCTAATTATTAATTATATTAAAATTTATATATATTTATATAATTATTAATTATATATGATATCGTCCATTTATGATTTAATCGTTTAAAATGATTGAACATAATTTGTGTTCATTTTGATTTAGTGCTTGAATTTCATACCATTGATATAAGGTGTGTTGTATTAAGAGGATACTCTATTCTTAAAGAGTACACTATAACTATAAAAAATGTTATATATAATATAATTATTTAAAGAAGCATGATATATAATATCTCAACTATCGTAAAAATTTATATAAAATTATTATATTATATTTATTTCATTTATATTATTTTTGAATTGTAAATAATAATTAAATATGAATAATTTAATGATATTATATAAAACTATTATAATATCAGTTATTTGTATTGACTTTTCAAAAAATATATATTTTAGAGATAATATATAAAACTTATATATTTTCCTCTAAAACAAAATAAAATTGTACCAAAAATAAAAACACAAACTTACGCATAACATAAGTTAAACTAAGATGTTCAAAAGGACAATAAAACATCTCACAATACATAAAACATCCTAAATTACATCACTAGAAACTAGATGGAATTCAAACTCCCATTGTTTCAATCAAACAATTTCATCCCCATCCAAAAGGAATACCCTCCATGCCTGATTCATGTAAAGAAAGAGTAACAACTTCAAGAAACTCAGCCCCTACCCCATTAACGTCCTCCCATTCTTGTCTCATCCAACTAGAGAAGGACCGGAACATCGATAATGACAAGTAGTGGAAAGAAGAAGAGTGTTAATGTGATTAAGATATTTAATGAAGTGGATGATCATTTCCTCAATGCTTTTGAGAGTGCTAATGAGGTTTCTAAGATGCTTGAGGCTACTAGGATGCATTAACACTCCAATTTTGCTGATAATAAAGGTAAATCGATGAGTTTCAATCTAGAGAATATGTGAGTAAATGTGGCAGTCATCTATGAAGGACCGATAATGATACGAGTATCGGATACGATATGTAGATACAGATTTTCTTGAAAATGTACGATACTCTTGAGATACACATATAAAATATGTTCATAAAATCTATAAAACATAATAAACATATAATAAACATATGAATTTTTGGAAGATGATGAATTCTGTTTAATCGATGATCAACATATGCATATGCATTTTCTATTCATTCTTTATGTGATACGTGTGTTTTGTTTTATTTCTCTCCCTACAAGTCCACTTGGTAGATTGCATATTATGTTTCTCTCTTCTACTTAATTGATTGTGTTATGTCTTTCTCTCTTTTAAAATCTTATTCTGTGGTATGTTGGGTGTTCATGAGGTATCGTGAAAATATTCTAAGAATAGTGGAGAGTATCTAGAAAGTATCGAATTTATAAATTATTTATTTTTCAAAATTATAATTTTGATACGCTATGGGTACGTATCGATGAAGTATCGGAGAGTGTGAGTATCGGCTACGTGTCAGACACGGATACATGAAGGTTATTGAAGCGTCGGTGTTTCATAGGTACGTATCGATGAAGTATCGGAGAGTGTGAGTATCGGCTAAGTGTCAGACACGGATACATGAAGGTTATTGAATTGTCGGTGCTTCATAGGTGGTCATTACCATGGTTTTAAGTAGCGGAAACTATTATGGGAAAATGAGGCTAAAATTATAGTCCAGATTTCACAAACTCTCAAAACCTCAATGTTTCAAAGTATT